AATACAGACTACAAAATGTTTTGCTTTTTAGAACTCAAAATTACCATTCTGTTTTTTAAAATGTATTTTCCTTCTTAGTTGTAGCAAGAATTATTTGTCATTTTCTTTCTCTTTTTAAAGCTCTTGGGTTCAAAATGTATATGTATAGAATGATCATATATACATATCTGTATATTGTATTAAATGACTTTTTTCCTCAGAGAATATGGGAAGTCTATTTTCCCCTGGAAAACTAACTGTGTTGCATGCTCCCACCTTTATCACAGGCCAGGCCTTGAAAGGTTTCTCTTTTTATGTGTGGGACCCTGTAGGTACAATAAATTCATTCGTGAAATGAGGTTCCTTTCCTGACTACATGAAAATCATCGTGCACCCCTTACCCGTTAAAATGTTAGAAGTGAATTGACTTGAAGTAACTGTTCTGACTAGAATGGAAATCAGGGGTTGAGTTTGGTTGGAAATTAGCAGCTGAGAGAGGAAGGTGCCAGGATTTTTATTTAAATGTGGTACAACAAGATTCTGTCAGTAAAGCACATCATTAGAATATTGAGTTTAGAACTGCTAATTTTTCCTTTAAAATGAGCATACAGTCGTGTGCTTCATGGACCATAATAAATTGCCATTGTGTTGTCATTGAGTTTGTTTTGCTTTTTTGCAGTACTGGTTTGGCAGTCACTCTGCATTTTCTCTCTTCCTTTTCTTCCTTTTTCCCCCCTTGATTTTATATTTCTTTAATAGACCCCTAACCAAATCCAGTCAAAAGAATGTTATTTCGTGCAGTCTTAGCATTAGCATCCTTTGCACCATTTTCTTGCTTACGGTGGCTAGACATTTGCAGATGGTTCTTGGTTACTATAAAGTACATAACAGTATTTCCTTTGTGGCAGATGGATTTAAGACTTTTAGTTCTCAATAAATGTAGGTTTACAATACATAACTTTACAGGATTTGTGTTGTATATAACAGGTTTGAACATATTATCTCAGAATTCATCTGCATGGCATTTTCAGCTTATTCAGGGTCCATGCCAGTTTTTTTAAGTAATAGGGGGGAGCTCTGTGATTGATAGCAACAGCTCAAGGCGTGATTTTGAATAGAAACAAAGGGTTTAGAACAGAAGGTGTCAAATTAAACTTTGTCAGTTTGAAAAGTAGTAACATCCTGAAAGTTTTACTAATTTATTTACATGTGGCTACTGTTTATATTTTGCCCTTTTTATATGCAGTGTAATGTTGCTTGGCAAATTTACTACATTTAAAGTGTAGGTTGTTCCTTGTGCCATTTTGGTTTCCTGAGAATGGATCGGTATCATTATTTGAAGGCTTTTAGTCTCCTCTCTTTTCCACTGTTTGGAACAGTTGTCGTTGAATTTAATTTTGAGAGTAGTTTCCTACCCCGGCCTATGGTCTTTTAATATCTCAAGTCTCAGAGACCTCTCTTAAAAAATGTAATTATGTTCACATATTGCAACCTAGTGCTGCATTTCATTCCTTGTCTCCCCTCCACCAAGTAAATCTATAAATTTATCATTTAAAAACCTATACAGTACTTAGGGGAATCAGTATTTTTTATTTGCTAAATATTACAGATATTCTGACATGTTCATTTTCTTCCCAAATTTATATGCTCTAACAATAACACTTACGGAAAAGTGATCTAGAAAAAGGTTAGAAAGCATTTGGCATTTTTAGTCACTTTCTGCAAAACACAGATTAGATTACTGTCATCATTAATAGAATCTCAATCCATAGATTTTGAGGTAGTCAGAATATTCCAAGGCATTTAAATAGTATTAGGAAACATTAATCTTACTTTGCCGGTGTGAATTGGGGATGAGCCAAATTATTTTCTCTGCCGACAGAGAACTGGCATGTCAGAATATCTGTTTTCCATTACTTTTTAAGAGATACGCACATCAAGGAAAGAACCCCCGCCCCCCCCCTCTTTGTTTTTTTGGAATATCCTTGTAGAACTAACAGTTCCCAGCTGCACCGTTAAATATTTTTCTAAGAAGCATCTGATTTCAGTCTCTTTAAATGACCGTGTTTCTTGAAAGGCTAGCAGAGACATGCTTCAAACTTATAATTCATCAAATTATTTTTAGATAAGGAATTAGAAGTATTATTTAAGGGCAGAGGTTAATAGCAAACTACTGGAAATGTTATGTTAGTCATAGGCAATTAATAAAAATACCGGTCTGTCTCGTAAGTACAGAGACACACAAGTGACAATATGAGCAAATATTTGTTGAATGAGTCGGGGCTCTTTTTCTGAAATATTTGTGAAACCAGCGTGAATGTGATTGTTTAGGAATTAGCTATCATTATTAGCCATTTTAAAAGAACTAATGATTTTCTTTTCCAGAGAACATCTGTGATCCACATGTTTTTTTTTCACATATATATGCAAGTGCTAACTGATCTCCGCATGAAAAAGTTTCTAAAGGATTTGAAAATTATTGGAGTTTTCAGCTCTCTCCAAGAAGCTTTTCTTACATGAATCGTTCTTAATTTAACTTGTAGCAATTTTTAGTTGCAAGCATTAGTGTTGTTTTTTTTTTAATTCTTAGAATCTCAATGTTGAGCACTTACTGCAATAATGTAAGACTAGCTACTAGTAAGTAAAAAAACCAAAAACAGCATCTTTATGAACCTTCTAACATCTCTTGAAAGATAAATAAAATTGTAGTATTTGCTGTGTTTAGGCATGGGGGCGGGTGTCAATTGACATAGCCAAAGAATGAAGACAAGGAGGAGGAAAGTAGCATCCTATATAATAAAAGCATAGTATGCAGATTGTCCCCTTGACCATAGTTTGACCAGGGGGCGGGCCGGCCAGGGGAAGGGAGGGAGGCCCCAGCCGGCTAGGGATCCTACCAGTGCATGAATTTCATGCACCAGGCCTCTAGTAGTTAATATTCAGACTTATGGGAAGATACATCTAAAACCGTCACAGCATGAAAACTTAGAGGTAAAGTGTAAAGAAATAGCTTAGATGTAGGAAAATATATTTTCATGGCTTACTCTAGACAGCAAATATTTGCTAGGAAGCACTAAATAATCATCTTCAGGGTCTCAAATATTTCAAATACTGGAATATAGTTTTCTAGTCAATAATGTACAAACATAGAGCTAAAATATGACATATCATATTATTCTGGAAATAAACATAGGATTGCCAAGGTTAGAAGAGAAGTGTGTTCAATGACACTTAATCAGCATTCTTATTTTTCATTTAGCTAATATTCTTTTAGGCACATCTTCAGTTTACTGCCTACTCTTTTAGCCTGGAATTATTATGTGTTCGGTAGCATTGAATGAGTGCATGACTGTCCCCATGTACATATTTGTTTAATTAAAAGACCTGTTGAGTAGAGAATCAAAGCTCTCTCAGAAAAATTGGTAGGTCTCCTGGGGGTTAGCAGCAGTCACCCTTGGCTGGTTAGTAGATGGGCCTTGGGAAGCTAATGTCTCAGTTCTCTCTAAAATCTCTCAAATAGGCCATTTTGGGGAGAGTGTGCCTTGCTTCTTCCCACTATATATTGCAATTGGAAAGAGAATTTTCTCTTCAGTGGTTCAGGCTGAGAAGAAAGGGAGGAAAAGCCATACCATTCTCACTCCAAAGGTAACATTAAAAACAAACAAACAAAAAAACAACAACCAGCAAAACAAAAGACAAAAATACCTTCTCCTTGGCTAGTTCTAAAAATCAGATAATAAAGAAAATGTACTTGATCCATTCACAGCCAACTAATTTAGTTGAAATTTTCAAGAAGCCCCTGTGTCTTAGGCCACGTTCCCTAAAGCAGAATCTGAGATGGGGAGTCGGGCGCACGTGATTGGTGAGGGACTCGGAAGGAGCAAGGAGGATAGGGAAAAAGGGGTCACAGGTAAAGGGGAGATAAGGTCATCTCTAGAGAATAAATCCCTCTATGGAAAACAGCAGTAAATTGAAGGTACAGAGACTTTGAACCACTGGGGCAGCCAGGCATGGCCACCCTGGGCGAGGGGCCAGGGAGGAAGTGGAGTAACTGTCCAGGCATCTCCAGGGGAGATGACTCCAAGACCTTTCTCCAGAAAAGAGTGTGGCTCTGAGCTCTAAGCAGGCAGCACAGCAACTGGGGGTGGTCGCCTTGGCTGGGGAAGGGGGTCTGGGTGGGATACCCCCCTTCCTCTCCACCCCATTCCTTACGTCCATCATGGCAGCCAAGACAAAGGAGGTTTGAGAGGGTGATTAGAAAATGTTGGACAATGGACTGTGTTAGACCACTCAGTTCTTGATAATCTGATAGTTCACTCTTTGCTCAGGAAACCCGTTAAAATGGTTGCTTGACAAATCACATGTGTATCCTGCAGCAGGCAGAAAAGCAGGACTCCGAGCTATCTCTCTGGAAAGTTCTTGAGAATTCTTCGAATGCCCAGTCTATAATCATTTTGCTTTATATAGTGGACAACATTCTTACACAGTTGCACACATCCCTTCTCTGTTTCTCACACACACACACACACACACACACACACACACACACAAATATTCATACCTAATTTCCTTTCTAATACAAAAATTCCAAACTTATGAAATCCTTTTTAAATAATTATTCTAAAAGTCTGTCCTAACTCTCCTTAAATACCCGCAGGACCGCAGGTGGCCACACTCATCAGACAAGAAGGCTGGGCAAGGCTCAGGCACACCCAGCTTGGCTTTTCTCCTGTTTCTCACATATCACAAAGCCCCGGGTAAATGGGTCTTGCCCTTGGAGTCTGAAAAATATTACCCTCTTTTAAGATGCCAGTCTGAACATTTATTGGAAACAGAGCCTGTCTTTTTGACAACCACAGCTCTTCTCAGAGGTTTAACAAAATTGTTTAAAGCAGATTGGAGTATTTTGAGCTTATGAAAAAAATTAACTTCACAGGGTCTTTCCATTTTAAGCTCCTAATGGAAATTGTCAGTCTTTCCCCCGCCCGCATGAGCTGACCTATTATTCCCTTGTCTCTAAGGGGTGGTTGTGTGAGCTGTTACGCTGGAAAGAAGATCCTTCTCCAGAAAACAGGACCCTGTGGGAGAACCTCTCCATGATCCGAAGGTTCCTCAGTCTTCCCCAGCAAGAACGCGATGCCATATATGAACAGGAGAGCAACGCGGTACATCACCATGGCGACAGGCCGCCCCACATCATCCACGTTCCAGCAGAGCAGATTCAGGTTCGTTTACCTTGGCCAATTCAAGATAGCACTAAGTAAACAGAGCTTTAAACTGAGCAGGGAAATTAGCGTTTCTCTCCTTCCCAGCAGTCTACACACGGGCTTTTTAGCAAGCCATAGTGATACACTGCTGTCTTGCTCAGGGGGATGAGAGGAAAATTAACACTTTTTCCAACATGTGTTTTGTGTTCCTCTTCCTTCACTCCCCACCCCCAAAGTGGCAGGAACCCCCTTTTACACTTCTTGTTTGGCAAGTGAGTCTTTGTTAGAATTGGGTTGTTTTGTGTGTATGAGCTTCATCATTTTTTTTTAAAATCAGAATTTAAAACACACCACCTTAAAAAAAAAAAACATACAAAAAACTAATACCTGAACCTCACCCAAGGAAAGGAATGATTGCTGTTTTCTGTAGGGGGATTTTGTAGAATCACAATTTTATACATTGGCTTCTGTCCAAAAGGAGGTGGGGAGGGAAACCTAAATGGAATCTTGCTCCCGACGCCTTGGCCCTTCCTTCACCTTGCAGCCGTCTCCCTACACCCTCCCAGAGCACAGGTTAGGGGCGAGTCATGTCTGTTTGTCTTTCCTTTAGAGCCCCTCTCCCAGCACCCTTGGGAAAGGAGAGTCTAGAGGCGTTTTCTTGCCAGGCCTGCTGACCCCTGCACCGTGGCTCAGTGCTGCTCCTCAGGTGAGCGGGCACAAGTTCCCTTTGCCAGAAAGAGAGGGACACAGACAGGGGGTGGCTTAGAGACCTGCTCCCTTGGTCGGGATATTTAAAGGACAACCTGACCATGGCGGTGGGCTGAGACCACTGTGCTGTGCCAACAGACTCAGCCTTGTACTTAGCTGTCATGTCATGGGACTCGTCTCCATTCACCCGACCCCCCTATGAATTGAGATTGGAAAACACTGGGGTCAGGTGTTTTGTAGGCGCTCTTAGGGCCTCGGTTGCTTAGGAAGTATGTTGCAATTGAACTTGAGCGGTATAACTTGTTTTTGTTAAATTTAAGGGGAACTTCTCCTTTAAGGAAAAATGCCATTGCCTTCCAGAGTCCTAAAATCCTACTATCTTTGGTGAATCACCTGCATTATTTCTGAGTATTGTTGGGGAAAAATACACATGTAGCTAAAAACAATAACAGGGTTATCCATCCACTAGGAAAAAATATCCCTGAGTATGTATTCAAGATAAATTGAAAAAGAGAATCCCTGAGGATATCAAGCACTCAAATAATCCTGAAAGCCTGAAAAACTGTTTAGCGAAAACAAAAAAAAGAGGAAGATATACATTAAGTAATGAGAGTAGGACTTGTTTGAAAATGTAAATCGTTTTTTAAAAAATTGCTTTTTAGGGGGTAAAAGGAACTGCGTAGGCACCATATGAATGTTCTGATATTTTGCCGCTCACTCGGGTTGATTTGCTTTGCTGATAGGAGTTAGGGGTAGCGAGTACAGTTACGTGCATGTATCGCACATTTGTTCTGTATAATTGTGTAGGGAAATCACAGCACACATACAGGTACTAATCATGCAAAAGTGTCTGTGTACACTAAACTTCAATCCTAATCACATCCAAGTTCACCACAGACACAACAATTTGCTAGCGGCGGATTGGACCTTTATTTTTCCGTAAGGAAAAATAACTTGCAGTGTCAGCCTAGTGCCATTTGGTAAGACATTGTGCATGAAATCAGGACTGTCCGGTAGGAATTTCACAAACGTCAGCCTCTCAGAAATCCTTTGGACTCCTAAGAGATAATGCTGAAGAAGAGGAGGGCTAGCTATTTTGGTTGCAATTTAAATACAACTTTCGAATCCTGCTCCATGTTTTACCTACGCGATGACATAGGGCAAAACACATTTCTTGCATGGCTCTGTACCTCACCTTTCTAAAATGCCTTTGAAATCCTTCTCGATCTTCCTTATAAATCTTAATTATTTATGTCATAATTGGCTTTGCTTGTCTTCCCGTAATGTGCAAACTTCTGGCACAGACTGAAAATCAAGGTTAGGGAGGCTCCGGTGACCTCTGAGAAGGAGGCCCAGTAACCCCCCAAACCCAAGTCCTTCCTTCCTAGTGACTATCATTTTGATATTTTTCCGAATGCTGTGGGTCCTTTCGCTGGCCTGCCTTTGGGCCTGAGCCCTTGTCCCCATCCAAGAAGCCAGGCGTGGGCTCATCCCCCAACCATGCGCTCCGTAGTTCTAGCTGCTTCGCGCGCACCTGGGAGAGCGCAGTCTGACTGTCCGCTTGTTCCTTCTCCCGCAGCCGCCGCAGCCGCAGCCCCAGCAGCCTGCGCCGCCACCCCCGCAGCCGCAGGCGCAGCAGCCGGCCGGCCCCCGGCTCCCCCCGCGGCAGCCCACCGTGGCCTCCCCGGCCGAGGCCGAGGACGACACCCGCCAGAAGACGCGGCCGCGCACAAAGATCTCCGTGGAGGCCCTGGGGATCCTCCAGAGTTTCATCCAAGACGTCGGCCTGTACCCGGACGAGGAGGCCATCCAGACTCTGTCCGCCCAGCTGGACCTGCCCAAGTTCACCATCATCAAGTTCTTTCAGAACCAGCGGTACTATCTCAAGCACCACGGCAAACTGAAGGACAACTCCGGCCTGGAGGTGGACGTGGCCGAATACAAAGAGGAGGAGCTGCTTAAGGATTTAGAAGAGGGTGTGCAAGACAAAAACGCCAACACCCTTTTCTCGGTGAAGCTGGAAGACGAGCTAGCGGTGGAAGGGAACACAGACATTAACGCCGACTTGAAAGACTGAGACATCAAGTATTATTTTCATTCAACAGTGCCACTGGTATTTACTAACACAATGAAAATCCACCTGTATGCGCTCAGAAACCTTTGTTGTTCATGGTTTGGCCAATGAATCTTCAGAAACTTGCACAAACAGGAAAGTTGAGAAGGGATAATGCAGACTGCACTAAATGTTTTACTCTGATTTACAAACTGCTCGGCAGCCCCAGGTGAAGCATTGAGGATTGTTTGGTATTAAAAGTTCAGATTTGTGTTCTCGGGAACGCACCGAGGTGTGTACCCCGTCAGCATGATACCAGTGATTTTTTTTAAAAAGATTATTATTATTCTGGAGCCTCAAACAAGCATTATAACTTCTGTGATTATGATTTCCTTCCTTTCATTATTTCTGTAACACTCCACACTGATCTTTGGAAACTCGCCCCTTATTTTAAAAGAAAAAAAAAAAGAGTTTGTTACTCTATTGTATGTTACAAAAGAACTATAGACTGTGGAATGCAGTTTAAAGATGACATATGCCAACAAATGCCTTGTATTATATGGCACTGCCGTAATTCAAATTTGTTTTTATTTTGGAAATAAAAGTTCACTGTAATTTTTTTTTCATTCTCATTGTTACATGATTTTTTTTTTAAATGAAAAGAAAATGTGAAACACAGTTTAGTCCTCATTATTTATTTGTAGATCCTGCAGCATCATGTTGTAATTAATTTTTTGGAAGTTTCCGTTAAATGTAATATTGCTTCTCTTGTTACCATACTGATTCTTTTCTATTTATAAATGTATTTTGATGGGCAGTAAAACAAAGTGTCTTAAAAGTTTTAAATAGAGAAAATGTGCTTTACACAGTTGCCTATAAAAAGTGCTCTATGTTATCCAAGCAATTCATACTATAAGCTTCACTCTTATTGTTGTATGCAATTTTTACTATCATGCAAATAAGCTTAGGTAAATAAAACTAATAGATCACCTTAGAAAATTATGCAATTAATGTGAAAATAATTGATGTTTGCAATGTGTCTTCCTTTGGTTTACAATCAATTTTAAAGCTACATCTGTATAAAATTTCTGTATAAAGGTGTATTTCTTTTTTATGAGTTTATGGCTATGAAAACACCAGCTATTTTGTTACAGCTGGCTGTTTTTATAAGTGTATCACAATTTTCTTTATGCAGAAATATTCTGATTAGGAAGTGGTTATTGACTGTAACTACACAATTAAAATTGTTTGTATGATATGACATGGTAGGGTTTGTCTGCTTATGTGGAGTAACTATCCAGAGTCAAAGGTGGTCCTCTCGGTTAGGTGCATGTTCATACTTTTCTCTTGATGATATTTTACTGATTCTTAAAAGAGCAATGGAAAAGAAAAGTCACTCGAAATGCTGTAAATTTAGATCACGAACACATGCTCCTTTTTAAAGTTAAACTATGAAGATCATAACCTGTTTGGGGTTAACATTTTGCTTAATAAACAGATAGGATGGTCTAAAGACTCACTGGCAAAAACATAAATCCAGCCTCTAGCAGTTATGTGCTTAGAAAGTGGATTCATCTGCATTTATTCCACAGTACTTCACTTATGGCAACGCTTTTTTTAAGCTAGTGTACACATATTTTTAAAGGCCATTAATAACAAAATAAGTAAGGAAAAAGGGACCTTTTGTATAAATATTCCTTAATAAGCAACGCATTTTTAAAAAGTTATAAATGGAATATACGTTAGCTCGGTTCATGCAGAAAATATGAATAACACACCTGGAATTTAAACACAATTTTCAAGATACAAAATTAGGGTGTGCTAATGGTCATGGGAAGGTTGGAGGCCAGTGTTGCAGTTTTTGATTATTTTCTTTTTCTATTCACTTTATATCTTGCTTCCTTTTTTTAAGGTTTCCTCGATGTTAATAGGGGGTATCCGAATTCCTTAAAACTTGGTTCTGAAATGGCCCATTCTTTTCCTGCCAGTGCCCTAGGCCATGATAAGCTCATTGGTAGTCAACTGGGTTGCTTAGGGTTGAGCTTTTACTTAGGATACTGAAATGGGATCATTGAAAACTCCGAATTCAGTTTTCAAAAGTACTATTTACTTTTAAAGCACAGCTGAACTACTATGAAGGCAGCTGGTTTGCTGCAGACTTAAAACTGATTGAAAAGTTTTCAGATATTTTATTAAGTGAGGAAACTTTTAAACATTCTTGCTCCCTAGAGTTTAGGAAATAATTTGAGCAAAAGGAATTTGAATTAGAATAGACATAAGATTTCATGTATTAAAAATAAGACAAATAGACACTAGTATACTATGAAGTTTTTAAGAAAGCTCTATCTTCCTCTTTTTTTCATATGTTAAAGAAAATTTAGAACAGAGAGACTTTTTTTTTTAACCAGCCCAACATTTAACAGATGTCAGAGGTATGAGATTTAATTTTGGGAGGGAAAGGAGAAATTGGATTGCAAATATGATTTTCCCATTCCCAGTAATCTAACTTATGCAATAACTTTCTCAAGGAATTGATGAGTGTGTGTAAGAAATCAACAATACTAACAAAATTCTTAGGCCCTTTCATCTTGGCAGCCCTAATTCTGCTAATAATGACATTTTAACACCCTCCCCACCCCCAAAAATAGCACATGTCAGTAAACAATCATGGTCATGATGGAGTGAGTACAATTGTTTTCAGGAAAGATGGCATGTTTTGGAAAAGACCTGTCTGGGTGATCTTCCACATTGCTCCCCCAATGCCACGTATCGCTCCCTCACACCAGTCCCTATTGCTGGCGGCTATGGTACAATTCCTTGAACAAGCTTCATCGTGTCCAAGTTTATCAGAGACTTTAAAAGCGGGGCATGACGTAGCGCTTCGTGCTGTGAAGACCTTAGCAGAGTCAGGTAGTTTACGGGTAATACTCAACCTTGCGCATCTGAATCTGTCATGGATTCCTCCCCTCAGCACTTTGCCACTAATTTGTATTACACTCTGTGGCCATATAATACTTGCACATTATGCAAAAAATAATGTTGATAGTATCTCCTTGGCACAAAATATGCAGAGTTGACACGTAACCTTTGACAACCAAGGTAACTAATATGTATGCGTGCCCTTGTTGTGTGGCACTTGGTTACAAAGTCTGTTCATACTATGTATAAAGTGTGTATAGATGAACATTTAGCCCCCATGAATTCTGAGCTTAAAGGAAGTGTGTCTTTTTATAAGTAGTGCTATCTATATCTATGTTTATCTAAAATATATAGCTTGAGTAGAAAACATTTTCAAATGGTTCCAGATTGAGTAAAAATGACAATCCTATACATTCCATTATGAAAGTCTGCCCTATTCCCTATTGTTATCATGAGCCAATTTTAAGGTCCTTGAATGTCATGATGTCATCAATAAATGAGCTGTTCTGAACTGCCTGGTGATATTTTCAAAGAGAGCAATTAAAATGTATAAACCCTATTAAATAACCTATAGAGAAAGGACTACTATGTTAAAACAAGCCAGCAATTTGCATGGTAGGTGGAAATCAATGGAGGTCCAAAAACATTAATCATATCTAAAATATCAGAAGATATTGATGCTATAGTTTACCTTACAAATAAATATTTTTTACTTTTGAAGGGGGTGTTTCTTCTGGGGCAATCCTTTTCATGTAAATACTACTTGCATGTTTTTTGACAAAGGCTAAGCTACAATCTATTAACACACGTTTTTGATGAAAATATACAGTGCCCTTATTTAAAAAATGTGGTGGAAGGTGTATGTCCAGAATACGATCCCTGTTTCTGATACCAAATGTTAAATAAAAATAGTTTGGAATTACTGTTTAAAAGATGAGCAACATGTTGAAGCCTTTCTTACATTACCCTACTTATGTGGATTATGCATTTCTAACTTTATCAAAATAATTCCACAATCCCCTTATGATTTCTTGCTTATATCAAGGTTATATATTGTCATTTTCTTTTTTCAAAAATATTATTTCATTGATTTCAGAGAGGAAAGGAGAAGGAGAGAGAGATAGAAACATCAATGATGAGAGAGAATCATTGATCAGCTGCCTCCTGCATGCCCCACACTGGGGAAATCAAACCACAACCCCCTGGTTCATAGGTCGATGCTCAACCACTGTGCCACATTGGCCAGGGGGTGGGAATGGGAGGGGGGGGCGTAACTATATTCTCATTTCTTTCCATCCACTGTTTTCAACTGCTAATATCCCTACTGTGATCAAAGGCACATGACCTGGGCCCTGTTCTCCACAATAAGGTGGTTAATGGGGGAATGCCTTAGAGCAGTATGTTATATTTGTTGCCTTGCAAAATAAACACAAAGAAACTCAAGTGGTGTATTTTGCATTAGATTAAATGTTAAGCATTACTTCGTTACTGCCAGTTGAACATTTTTACTATTACTGAATATTTGCTTTTTATGGTGCTCAAGCTTTCAGTCCAGTGACAGTCTCTAATTCATGCCCTTGGGCCCAAAAAAGAAACGATGTTCCACGTGCGGCTCTGATTTGCCACTTACAGTACCTGTTAGATGAGAATGTTGACAAGGTTCAAATATTTAAATGTGTCCCTTGATTCGCTGAGTCTGTGGCAATGTGATGCAAAATGAGCATTTGTCCAGAGCACAACCCGCCCAACAGCATCTTAATGTGGGGCCAGGTTTCAGCTACTCCCCCTTCGCTTCCCGTTTTAATTTCCAAATATTTGTTTTACCATCTCATACAAAGGCTTCCTACCTTCTGAGGACCCTTCCCTACCATCCTCCTCAAATACGCTTAAAGTGATAATAGCACAACGTGTGCGGAAGGCTTCATTTTACTAGGCAGTGCCACAAACGTGTCTCCATTCCACTACAAAGTGTTGTCAGGAGGGTACTGGCATTCCCACTTCCAAGACGAGGGAAGAGAAACTCAGCGTAACTCCCTTGTTCAGCTAAGTGGTCACATTGGTCTTTAAACCCAACTCTGCTATCTACAAATTCTACCTCTACTTTCTCCTTTAAAAAATAACTTCCTCAAATTTAGAAAATATAGGAAACTTAATTGCAATTCAAATTTTTTCAGAAATATAACACATATTTTGCTAATGTAAACAGTTCATCACTAAAGTAATTGAAATCAAGTATATGAAATGTTTCATCATGAAATATCTATCCCCAAACTCTGCCATCCTGGTATAAGATCCATATATACCAAATTTAATAATAAAAAAAAAAACCCCACAACACTTTGTTATAGTAATTTTCAAATGCACATGAAAAAGAATAGAATAATGAACTCCCAAGGATTCATTACCCAGTTCAAAAACAGTTTTTGTCAATAAATACTTTGTAAAACTTTTTTAAAAATATATTTTATTGCCCTAACCGGTTTGGCTCAGTGGATAGAGCGTCGGCCTGCGGACTGAAAGGGGATGTGCCCACAACCAAGGTACATACATGCCCTTGACCAGAATCGAACCTGGGACCCTTCAGTCCGCAGGCTGACGCTCTATCCACTGAGCCAAACTGGCTAGGGCTGTAAAACTTTTTAAAATTAAGAAAATATCCAAACTGTTTGATGGCTCCTGCTCATTATCTTACTTTTTTTTGGAAAGTAATGCATTTTCTTATTTCTAAAAAAAACCCAAACTTTTAGAAGGAGAACCTGTGAGAATTCCACAAATATTTGTACCACAAAAAAAGAGAGACAAACCAGCCTCTCTTTATTTATAAACAATGCGTGCTTTCATATCATTGTTTAAACTAAAGTACATAATTTTCAGTTATGCATAATAAAATATGTAATTAAGCAACATTCCATGGTGGATTAAAGAATTAAAAGCTTCAGGTGCAGAAAAGAATTTGTTGGCATTTTCTTTTTTCAAGGTGGTATTTTGAGGTGTTACTTTTCATTTTCCTTTGACATCTTATACACAAATAAATAGACAGAAACAGGTGAGAAGCAGAGAAATGAAGGGCTGGCTCTACAATAGACCTGAAATATGTAGTGAGGCAGAATACTCATCACATGCCCACAAAAGCTAAATTAAAAAGGACAAGAATCTTTTTAGTCTGGGGGGGCGGGGGGGAACCACACGAAACTCTAAATAGGAGCATGTGCTTCAAGAAATAGAAATAATATAGAAAGTTAACTGCATTAGGTTATGCTTAGATTTTAAACTACATTAAATTAATTCACAGTCCAATTGGTAGAGTCCAGTAAACTTATTTTTCAAATGAAGAACTAAATTTAATTGATATTTCTGGACTAGAAACATCAAAGTTCATAGAGGCATTTGCAAGTTATTTCCTGCCAGTCTATGGCTTGTCTTTTCATTCTCTTAACAGTGTCCTTTAAAGAACAGAAAGAAGTTCTTGATTTGGGTGAAGTTCAATTTAACATTTCTCTTCCTTTTAAAGGTCTTGCTTTCACTGATGTATCTAAGTAATATTTGCCTAGTCCAAGGTCACAGAAATTTTCTCCTATCTTTTATAAGTCTTACAGTTTTAGGATTTACATTTAAATCCACGATCCATTTTAAGTTGATTTTTATAGGTGACAAATTACCAAGGTTTAGATCAAAATATTTTTTCTTTTTTCTGTTTTATTTTTGCATTTCTTCCAGTACCATTTGTTTAAAAGACTATTCTGTCTCCATTGAATTGCCTTTGCATGTTTGCAAAAAATAAATTGACCATATATATGTGTGTGTCACTTTCTATTTTGGTTTGTTGTTCTCTCCTCCAAGATCTCACAGTCTTACTAGTAATTACTCTCCTATAAAATAAGAGGCTAATATGCAAATCAACCGAACGGCAGAACTACCGGTCGCTATGACACTCACTGATCACCAGAGGCAGATGCTCAATGCAGGAGCTGTCCCCTGGTGGTCAGTGTACTCACATAGGGGGAGCACTGCTCAGCCAGAAGCTGGGCACATGGCTGGTGAGCACAGCGGCAATGGTGGGAGCCTCTCCTGCCTCTACATCGGTGGGACATCTCCTGAGGGCTCCCGGACTGCAAGAGGGCACAGGCCGGGCTGAGGGATCCTGCCCCCCACCCAGGTGCACAAATTTTGTGCACCAGGCCTCTAGTAGCTTATAATAAGCCTGCAGGTAATCTACATCTTTAAACTTTATTATTCTCTTCTTCGAAGTTGTTTTGTTGCTTCTGGGTTTTTCACTTCCCTATGAATGTTAGACTCAGCTCATCATTTTCACCCCAGAAAACATGCTGGATTTTTATTTGGTTGTTTAAACTGCATAGATCATTGGGAGAAGAACTGGCATTTTAACAATATTGAGTCTTCATGAACATGAGTTTTCTCTTCATTTACTTAAGTCTTTGTTCATTTCTCTTAGCATTGTTCTATAGTTTTCAGTGTACAGTTCTAACACATCTGGTCAGATTTATCCCCAAATTATTTTATACTTTTGATTCCATTGTACATATTTTTTAAAATTTGATCCCCTGTTGTTTGCTCCTAGTATATAGAAACATAATTCATTGTTTTATATATTGATCTTTTATCCTGAAACCTAGTCTAAACTCATAATAGTTCAAATAGCTTTTTTGTAGAATCCATCAGATTTTCTACATAAACAATCATGCCATCTACAAATAGTATTATTTCTTCTTTCCAATCTAAATATCTTCTTTGCTTTAATTTTCTAGAATGTCTAGTACAATGTTAAATAGAAATGATGAGAGCAAATATCCTTGCCTCATTCCTGAACTTATGTGCTAGCACTGTTTTAAACCCTTTACAATAAATTCATTTAATCCAAATAACCACTATATAAGGGAGGTATGTTATTATTTTATTATTAATAATGAAACTAGACACAGAGTTTTTATATATCTGCCCTCAGTAGATATGGCTCCCAACAAATCTTTCATCTCTCAAAATGCAACTATTGATTTTGCCTTGGCAATCATTCTTTATCCTTATTTGCTATAAGGGTCATAGCTTTAACACTCAACTCTTGATTAGGTGTCAGGCTATGCCATAAAATTTTATTTGACTAAAATAAAGTTCAACTATAAAAATATAGTAGGAAGAGAATTGTGCTAAAAAAATAAACTAAGGGAAGAAGAGAAGGGAGCCAGGAGAAAGAACAGGGACACAGGAAGAGAAGAATGAAGATGTTGGGAGGAAATAGGAAGACTGGCTGGTAAATGAGATTACTCAAAGGAGAAGCATACCTTCTGCATATTTTTTATAAGTATAAAAAAAGAAAACCACATGGCTAACTGACCCCTTTTGATGATTTTGAAAAGACTGTCTATTTTTAAATTTGGTGATTCCAATAAGTACCCTACTATCAATGTCTTAGATCAGTGATGGGCAAAATATGATCTATGGGCCAAATCCAGTCTGCTTCCTGTTATGTAAATAAAGTTTTACTGGAACACAACC